TGATAACAGTAGAGACCAACTAAATTTAACCCAAAAAAAACTGAATTTATTTTGACCCAATTGGATTGGAAACCTATTACGGCGCGTATTCACCTTCATTTAAAAGAGCAAACTTTAGGGCAAACGAAGAAAGGTAACTTCGAAGAAGAGAATTTGGGAGCAAAAGCGAAGTGAAGGAGATGGTGCTTCCTGATGAAGAAATTTCGAGGCTCTTCCGAATCAGGAAGACGGTGATGCAGATGCTGAGGGACAGAGGCTTCCTGGTGGGGGACTTCGAGATCAACATGTCCAAGCACGAGTTCAAATCCAAGTACGGCGAGCACATGAAACGTGAGGACCTCGTTATCAACAAGTCCAAGAAGGACAACTCCGGCGACCAGATCTACGTCTTCTTCCCGGAGGAGGCCAAGGTCGGCGTCAAAACCATGAAGACTTACACTAACCGCATGAACTCCGAAAACGTCTACAGAGCCATTCTCGTCACTCAGACCAACCTTACCCCCTTCGCCAGAACCTGCATCAGCGAAATCTCTTCCAAATTTCACTTGGAGGTTTTTCAGGTTGCCTTCCCCTTCTCTTTCTCTGCCTCTTTCTCTTTCAATGTTTTATTCAAATTCACCCGTCGCAGACAGGGCGCCGCGACCTGTGTATTGGCGGCGTCAACCACCCACTTTTTCATCTGGGTCGGGTATTCGGGTTTTAGGTTTTTCTTTCCTTCTCTTGTTTGTTTTAATTTATTGGGGTTCTGTTTAAGTAGAATAGTTTTTGTTTCTTTTGTAAAACATAACACTTTATAATCACTGAATTCTGCTTATGAGCGTAGCGTGTAATGTAATAAACTAATTAATAATGATAGCGATAAATATAATAGTGTTGAAAAACATTAAGGCATTGTTGATTATTATGATAGTTTCTTGGTATACTGTTATATGCATAACATTTTTATTCAATTTTGATTTTGTGCTTTGTGAATGTGAGTTTTATGTTGGAGTATTGTTTCAGGAGGCGGAGCTGCTGGTGAATATTAAAGAGCATGAACTTGTCCCTGAACATCAGGTTCTCACTGATNCCCTAAATAACAACTGAGAGAATGAAAAATTCCCTTCAGTGGCCTTGTGAAGAGGAAATAACTAGATATTACTATCTTACACCAGTTACAATACAAGCATAAGGGTACACACATTCTGAAATTGTGATTAGATGTCAGGTTTCCACACTTGGACCTTGAAGCTTTTGCAAAATAACATCCATATCAAAAGTGACGGTGCAATAGATGTGTTAAGCAGCACAACCTCCACACACAATACTTCTGTCAGACAGTAAAAAAGACATGTTAACATACATAGTTAAATGTCTCTGGAGGATAAATCATGTTCTTGTCGCATAAAATTTCAGCAGGCATGATAGAAATTTGCAAGTAAAATAACATGTTATGGGCTTCTCCTATTCCATCCCAAGATGCACCAAGCTTGAGTAGTGATCTAAGGTCAAGGGCATTCATCAAATGCTCTTTCAGAGGGAATGATCTTAATCCCACTCTATTCAATGCTACTTCAGTGCCGTTGTCTTCTTTTGCAGTGTTTTTCTTTTCTTTCCTTTTTTGGGGGTATCAAAGCCTATTTATATCTTTGTTCAATCATAGCAGGATTTCACTGCATAAGCAGCAACATCACCTAGCCTAGCAATTTCGTTTCTACATCAGGAAAGTCTCTCAAACTACACACATCATATCATGAATTCCACCCACCAAATGCTTTGAGAGATCAATGGTTTTAAGAATGCTTCAAAAGTAGAGTAAGGGACTTACACAAACGAGCAACCAGACCTTCTATGCCTTTTCTTCCTAGCCATTTCTTTCCTCCTTGGAGGTTGAAGCACAACTTTAATTGCAGTATCAAACACTGCTTTGACATTCTAAATCATGCAAATACAGCAATAAGTTTAAGTCACAGCAACAATGAGTAGTGCATAAAAACTAAAATAGTTAAATTTAAACCTACTACCTGTTGAGTCTTTGAACTGCACTCAATGTAAGCTGCTGCACCTATTTGTTTCCTCAGTTCTTCCCCCTATTAGCAATGTGCCATGATTGATAAACGGTATCATTTTCTTTACTTCTAAACATAATACATAATTTGCTTCATACTTATCACAAAATAAAATGAAGGAAGCAAATTAAAAATGTAAACCTCAGCAGATGTTATGACATTAGATCCCATGTGATCAGCCAGATAACCCCGGTCTTCACGGAGATCTAAAACCAACAATTCAGTACTTTATGTCATTAACTTCTTCCCTCTAAAATTAACGTTAAAAATTACAAATTTTTGCCTGTGCTGCTGCTTACCTAACTTTGTACCAACAAGAACAATTGGAACATTAGGTGCAAATCTACGCAGTTCTGGCATCCACTGAAAGAGAAAAGAAGGAATGCAGAAATGAGTTATGGGGGCATTAATGCAAAAGTTTAAGAGCACATAAATGCTCTGTTGAAAACTGTCCATTATTGATAACTCCTAATAGCCTAATACAATGAAAATGTGCATGTTCTATAGAAGTAAAGCCACATACATACCTAAACAATAATCTAACAGCTACAGACTTAGTCTTTGCTGGAATATGGGCATAGAAATATCATCTTAAGAAAAAAATTCTCCATTTTTCAAAATTTCATTGAAATAGAGTTGTTATGAAATATAAAATAACTGTTTATTAATTCAGTTGCTTGCTAAAATTCTTGTGTATAATTTTTTATGAATTAGATTGAACCTGTTTGTTCCACTGTCTCTTTACATCGTTCCTGTTTCTAGCTTTTCTCCTCTTTAATTTTCTATGGTGATTTTCTTTTCCCTCTCTTTATGCAGCCATCAATAGCCAAAAGTCAACAGAGACATTGGGGCTAATATCAATCAAAGACCGAAGAGTAAACATAAACCAGTGATCATTGTAGCTGCTTTCAACCAACCACTCTCATTATGCAACTTGATTTCTCTGTCCTGTGATCTTATTTTAATGTTAAACCTATTGATATATGCTGTACACTTTCGTTATTGGTTTAAATACTTTAATAGCTTATGAAAGACAGTTCTTCTAAAATATCAAAAATTGAATTGCACACTTTAACATTGGGAAAGGTATACTACATAACACAACTGTTGCAAACGACATTTTTTCAGAAACTTGAAAAAGGAAGTACACAATAATATNCATATATTTTGTCATTTCTGGAATGTTGTCTTCCTGAAGTTGGTTGTTTGTTCCTATTTCCCAATTGTCTATTTAGGTTGTTGATGTTGACTTAGATGCAAATCAAGGGATAGAGATGTGCATTTAGAGTTTCCTGCACTCCTTTCTCTGAACCTCGACGATACTCTTTCTCTCTTGCTTCTTTTCTCTCTCTCTCTGTTTGGCTCTCTCATTCTCCGTATTTCATCTCTAATCAATCCAATGTTTGATGAGAAGCATGGTGTTTCAGTTTTGATTTGTTTGTCTTGATTCTGCATTTCTGTGAACAAATTTAGTTGAAATTGTGCTTTTAAGTTTGTTGCTTTAATTACTGATGATCAATTCTTAGTCAAATCCTCTTCTCACAATAATTGAAAGAACTTTTCTGGCTTTTAAAAGATAATTTGCACCCAAATTTATGTTACTGCAAGGACATTTAAAGATTTTTTTTGTTGTTTTTATTTTTTCGTTTTAGCAGTGATTTTTTAGCTGGTTGTATTATACAGAATCAAGATGTCCAAATTGTGTCCTTATGTAACTGCTTGTGCTCGTATTTAAGTTTTCTTTCTCAATAGTATATGGATCAGAAGAGAGAAAAATGGTATTATCAAACACCATTCAGCATTGTGAAACCTTTGTTTCTTTCTTTAACCAGCACTTTGACATGTATTCAAACTAACAAGGTAGCCATGTCTGTCAACATTTGCATCACCTTCTCAGAAAAACTATGAATAATAATTCAACACATGATTTATTTAAAATGTAAATAAATGAAAAGTTTAAAAGAGATAATATGTTATTTGAGTTTCTCCATATAACTAAATAAGGACGAAATCGAGTTCAAAACTAAAATTTAAAATCGTCTCACCTTTTATGTGATTGAAGGCAGAGAGAATCAATAGCAAAAAGTTATTGTTTTATAATATGAGAGAATTGTTTCAGTTTTTTTTTTAGGATAATTTATTTTTTCTATTTTTAGCAATTAAATTTTCATGCCATCTAATTATGGTGTGTATTCAAACAATTTTGGTTATGCTTTTATTTTCTAGCACACCACAATCGTGTAAACAACATCTATGAATTGGTAACACATTATTTGAAAGACATTAGACCACTAATTTAACTTTTTAAGAAAGATATTAGGCTACTAATTTAACAGGGATATGAACTTGACAAGAACTTCAAATGAATTCTGCGATGCTAAGGAGGCAAAAACGTTTATTTCATTGGACAATGCAGAACCTCCACCAGCTAAATCAGATAAAGCTCTAATGGCAATGAAGGGTTTCTTTTGTTGGAGGCAGACTAATGCAACAGCAGCACTTTCCATATCAATAGTAGTTGCATCAAATCTGGAGTACAAAAATTCTCTGTAAGCTTTGTTATCAACAAACACATTGGCTGCTACTCCTTTCTTCACTCTTGTCACAATAGGCTTCCTTGGTAAACATGTTGTGTTGACACAACTCTCCAATTTAACATTCTGCACAAAATCAGCATTCTATACTGACCTTTTTTGAGCTTTTCTTAGAAAGTCAATTATAGGTAAATGATAATTAACATGAGTTTAATTAACTTAATTACCTTCAGTTTTCCTGCAATTTTAAAGTAAGTCTTGTCAACTGTAGTCCAGAAAATGTGGTGTCCAGCTTCTGGAATTCCATTCACAGGGAAAAGTTCTTCTGGTTGATACCACACTTTGTTCAAAAGATTTGTATCAGTGTTGAAATCTTTTGTGCTGTTACTGTAATCGGAAAACTCAAGATAACCAAATTTTGTGTTGAAATCTCCATTTTCTTCTCCTAACCTCTGCTCAATTATATTACAGAAAATCCAATCAAGTTATGTATACTTCTTTATTTCAATGTTTGCTCAAACTTTTCTAACACAGTTTTAAAAAGCACTTCAAAGGGCATAGTTTACTTTTAATGATTTCATGCACTCACTTTTTGATTCTTGAGTACTACACACTACAATTGTTATATTCTATTTACTTTTCATATGATTTTAAGATGAGAAAAATATTATATATATATTGTTTTGAAATTGACTTTAAATTTAACTTATCAGCGATAACTAGTTAAGAATTCAACTTTAAACTTAACTCAATTTCACAAAACCACCTTCTCAGATGAAGTTTGTCTTCGTTTATATACTATACATTTGGTTTTATATTTCATCAACATAGAACTTTCAAAATATATATATATATATATATAGAATGGTTTGTACCTGCCAATGCCAAAGTCCTGTGTGTGCCCAATATTGTGGAATAGTGACATCTCCAATCTGGAGTTTAGGATTAGCATTTCCTGCAATTCCATATTGAAGAACTCCTTTCACATCAAATAAAGTAAGCAACAACTGGGTTGAAATACCTGCATTTAGCTACACAGAAACAAGCCAAAAGATTCAAAAAACAAAAGGAGAAATATAACCAAAAGTTTATATGAAGTGTAGAATAGAAAGCTTGTTTACCATTCCCAATCCACACATAACAACTACAACCCTCTTATTTTCCAATACACCAATACGAAAATGTTTTCCTGCATTGTCAAACGGAAAAATATCAAATATTTGGAAAATTTCTAACATTTTTATATTGTGCCGAATGCGTGCATTTTGTTTACTTTTATCATCTGTCATGACTGTATATTCTGAGCACTGTAGTTGAATAATAATGACAAATACATTCATTCTTTATAATATATATATATATGGGTTAATAGGTGAAGTTTAAGTCTAACTCAATCCCACAAAATCGGCTTGTAAGGTGAGGTTTGCATCCACTTATATACTATAAATTGGTCTTATCTCTAGTCGTTGTGGAACTTCCAACACCACGCCGAAGTATATACATATCGAGACTAAACATTAATGAGTAATCTGATAGTGGTCCGATAGCGGGTGAAATAATATATCCACACAAATCTTGTTAAGGTAGGCTCTAACGTTGCTATGATACTATACCATGTTAAAAAGTAAACTTTCAAGTCTAACTTAATCTCATAAAACCGACTTATAAGGTGGTGTTTGTATCCATTTATATTATTATAAATTGGTGTTATATATATTGACATGTACATAGTTATATAAGAAAAAGAAAATTCACTGATATTTTATCTATATATGTTGTATGTGTGTTGGTATCCGATTTACATTGAATACAAAACGTGTTCGAACTTCATAGCTAGGATGAATTTACCTGCATAATTGAAGTAAGGAAAGTTGTGATGAGGTTGAAAGCTTGATGAACGAAGAAGAGGATCCAACTCAAAGGAATTTGGCACCACTATACCAATGTATGGTCCTTCACCATTGATAATGCTTATTTGTCTCCATGAAAGCTCAGAAATTGTACCATTTGCCATCATGATACTGCACAGTAACAACACAGATGAACCTAGTAACTTCATTCTCTTCAATGGTTACGTCTTTCAAGTTCTCAACAGATTTAAGGTTCCTTTTATAGATTAAAACAACACTCATATGGAACATATATCGGTCAACCACGTAAAAGATTAAATACACATCAAATTCTAAACTAAAAATAGTCATTTTTGCCCCTGCGTGACGTCTTAGATTTACATTAATCATGTTGATTTTGAAAAAAAACCATGAATGCATGTGGGAAGCAACAACGATATCGTTTTCTTCATCTTTTATAATCAATTAAATATTTCAGACGTCACCCTCCTTGGTGAAACACGTACTTATTCATTTTTTTTTTCTACTTTTCTTATGTTAGAAACAAATGATAAAATGACAATGGAGTTTTAAGTCTTGTTTCGGTTACAGGATCAATAAGAGTGAGTGTCAAGATGTTTGTCTTCACTGTTTGTCTTACCTCCATAAGATATTTTAATATCAAAGTTAGAAAAAATTAGACTAATTTAATAGTTAATGCGTAATAAATGTTATTAGCTATCGTATTATTTTAAATCTATATTTATAGATTTTAAAATAAGATTCAGATTACCAATAGCTTAATCAGTGTACAACTCACATTGATTATAATTTGGTGTAAGCTAATCAATATCAAACTTAATTATTATTTAAGAATGACAGTTATGTGAGCAAGATACAACTGATTAATCTTTGAATGATTTAATAAATATTTCTGAGTGTAAGAACCATCCAGTCTTAAAATGACTGAAAAATAATATGATGCAAGTTTTATAAAATAAACAAAGTAAAATAACTATGTTTATTCAACTTAATCAAGTCTTAAATTATCATTTGAATCATAAATTAAATAAATCTAAATTCATTTTAGTTATAAACTAAATAGATC